TCTTTAAGAAATTACAGATTAACATTTCTTTTGCAGAAGCTTTGGAGCAAATGCCTTAATATGCAAAATTTATGAAAGAACTACTTTCCAGAAAAAGGAAGATAGAGCATGACAAAGTAGTACATTTGACAGAGGAGTGCAGTGCCATTCTCAAGAGAAAGCTTCCTCAAAAACTCAAAGATCCTGGATCATTTAGCATTCCTTGTGAAATAGGAAACTGCACTGTGGGAAGAGCATTGTGTGACTTGGGAACAAGCATAAATTTGATGCCATTGACTGTTCTGCAGAAATTTGGCATAGAGGAAGTGAAGCCCACCAACATCACACTGCAGTTAGCTGATAGATTATACACCTTTCCATATGGAGTTGTTGAAGATTTGTTAGTTAAAATTGACAAGTTCATTTTTCCTGCAGATTTTATAATTTTGTACATGGAGGTGGATGCTACTATTCCATTGATATTAGGAAGGCCATTTCTTGCAACAGGGAGAGCCTTAATAGATGTGCAGAAAGGTAAACTTATGCTTCGAGTTCAAGATGAGAGGGTAGTATTTAATGTATTTGAAGCTTTAAAATATCCAGTTGAGGATAGTACATGTATGAAGGTAAATATACTGGATGTTTTTATTACACAACACCATATTAAAGAATTTGATGAAACTGCTGTGTTAGAAGAAATAATATCTGCAGGGAATGACAAATCTAAAACTCTGAATGAAGAATATATCATGGAAGGGCAGCAGCAATTGGAAGCCCTGCCAAGTCAAAAATCTGCAGAAAATTCAGTGAAGGAGAAGTTGGAAAAGGATGATAAAGAAGAGGAAAAGCAGAAATTAGAGCTGAAACAGCTTCCTTCCCACCTGCGATATGCATTTCTGGATGGAAAACATGAGAATCCAGTTATCATCAACAATGAACTCAAGGAAGAACAAGAGGAAAAACTGCTGAGAATCTTAAGAGAACACAAATCTGCAATTGGCTGGAGTATTGTAGATCTGAAAGGTATAAATCCTTCATTTTGTAAGCATAAAATTTTATTTGAGGAGAATTGTAAACCTGTTATACAGCCACAAAGGAGGTTGAATCCAACCATGAAAGAGGTAGTTAAGAAGGAGGTCATGAAACTGCTAGATGCAGGAATAATATACCCTATTTCTAACAGCAATTGGGTGAGTCCAGTCCAAGTTGTTCCAAAAAAAGGGGGGCATGACAGTGGTACCTAATGAAAATAATGAACTCATCCTTACTAGGACTGTAACTGGATGGAGAATGTGCATAGATTATAGGAAGTTAAATGATGCAACCAGAAAAGACCATTTCCCACTACCATTTGCAGATCAAATGCTAGAAAGACTTGCTGGACATTCATTTTATTGTTTCCTTGATGGGTATTCAGGATACAACCAAATAGCTGTGGATCGTTTGGATCAAGAGAAAACTGCATTTACATGTCCATTTGGAGTCTTTGCATATAGGAGAATGTCATTTGGTTTATGTAATGCCCCTGCCACTTTCCAAAGGTGCATGCTTTCTAATTTTTCTGATTTGGTAGAAAACATCATAGAGGTGTTCATGGATGACTTCTCTGTTTTTGGTGATTCTTTTGATGATTGCTTAGCTAACCTATCCACTGTTTTGCAGGGATGTCAAGATACCAACCTTGTGTTGAATTGGGAGAAGTGCCATTTTATGGTACAAGAAGGCATTGTCCTTGGTCACAAAATTTCAGAGAAAGGAATGGAGGTGGACCAAGCTAAGATAGAAGTCATTAGTAAATTGCCTCCACCTATCAATGTTAAGGGAGTTAGAAGTTTTTTAAGACATGATGGTTTTTATAGAAGGTTCATAAAAGATTTTTCCAAAATTACTAAACCTCTGAGTAATTTACTTATAAAGGATACTGATTTCATATTTGATGATAATTGCTTGCATGCATTTTCTGTTTTAAAAGAAAAATTGATTTCTGCACCTATGCTTGCAAAATTATATTGGAAATTACTTTTTGAACTCATATGTGATGCAAGTGATAGTGCAATGGGTGCTGTGTTAGGACAAAGAAAAGATAAGAAATTGCATGCTATTTACTATTCAAACACAGTGTTAAATCCTGCACAAGTGAATTACACAACAACAGAAAAACAACTTCTAGCTGTTGTATATGCTTTTGATAAGTTCAGATAATATTTAATGGGTTTGAAAGTGATTGTATACACTGATCATACTGCTCTTAAATATCTTTTGACAAAACAGGATGCAAAGCCTAGATTATTAAGATGGATTCTACTTCTCCAAGAATTTGAGCTAGAGATCAAAGATAAGAAAGGGAAAGAAAATAGTGTTGCTGACCACCTATCTAGACTACCATTGGAGAGTTTAACCACTGAATCATTGAAAATAAATGAAGAATTTTCAAATGAAAAGCTGTTTGCAGTGGAAAACATGCCGTAGTTTGCTGACATTGCAAATTTTAAGGCCACTCAATTCATCCCAAAGAGGTTTACTTTGCATCAAAAGAAGAAGTTTTTACATGACAACAAATTCTATGTGTGGGAAGACCCATACCTGTTCAAAATTGGAGTGGATGGATTACTTAGAAGGTGCATTCCACAAAGTGAGCAAGCTGAAATATTATGGCATTGTCACAATTCAGAATATGGAGGCCATCATGCAAGCTCAAGGACTGCTGTAAAAGTCTTGCAAGCAGGTTTCTTTTGGCCTACACTCTTCAAAGACGCCAAAAAGTATGTGGAAAGCTGTGACAAATGTCAAAGAACTGAAAATATTTCAAGAAGACATGAGCTGCCATTAACCAACATCCTAGAAGTGGAGCTATTTGATGTATGGGAGATTGATTTCATGGGACCATTTCCCTCATCATTTTCACACGAATACATTGTAGTTGCAGTGGATTATGTTTCTAAATGGGTAGAAGCTATTCCTACTAGATCAAATGATGCAAAGGTAGTGATTTCTTTTATAAGAAAGAATATTTTTTCAAGATTTGGTGTGCCTAGAGTGCTGATAAGTGATGGAGGTACCCATTTCTGCAACAAGTATCTTGAAGCTGTATTAATAAAATATGGTGTGAAGCATAAGGTTGCTACTCCATACTATCCACAAACAAGTGGACAAGTGGAGGTTTCAAATAGAGAAATCAAGCAAATTCTAGAAAAAGTAGTGAACAACTCAAGGAAGGATTGGTCAAAGAGGCTGGATGATTCATTGTGGGCATATAGGATTGCTTTTAAAACTCCAATTGGTATGTCTCCATATCAGTTAGTATTTGGAGAGGCCTGTCACCTACCCCTAGAGCTGGAACATAGAGCATATTGGACTACCAAATGGCTTAATTTTGATCTGTCCAGTGTTGGAAGGAAGAGAGTTCTGCAACTGCATGAATTGGAGAAATTTAGATAGCAAGCTTATGAGAATGCAAAGTTGTATAAAGAAAGAACCAAGAGAATCCATGACAAGTTCATTCTGTAAAAAGATTTCAGACCTGGCCAGCAAGTGCTGCTATTCAATTCAATATTAAAATTGTTTCTAGGGAAACTGAAATCTAGATGGTCTGGACCATTTTTAATTAAGGAGACTTCTCCCTTTGGAGCAATTCTTATAAAAGATCAGAAAACAGGGAGGGAATTCAAGGTCAATGGCCAAAGATTGAACATCTATCATGGAGAGGAGATTGCAAGGAACATATCATGCTTGAAATTAGTTCCTCTTGAGTGAGGAACAACTAATGTCAAGCTAGTGACATTAAAGAAGCGCTTTGTGAGAGGCAACTCACATTTCTAACTCATTTTAAGCTTTTTGTATTGTTTTAAGAGTTTGCAATTCATATGTTGTAGTTTCTGCAATTTGTAATTCTGCATATTCATTTTTTTTATAATTTCCTGCAAGTTCTGCTGCATCTGATTTTCTGAGGTGCATATGGATGCTTAAATTGAGAATTGATGAGGTGAATGTGAATTTAAGGGTTTAAAATTCTGCATAATTAGATTTAACAAATTTTTGAAAATTTTGCATAATGTATGTGAATAGTCTGCTAAATCTGATTTGCTGAGATACATTTGGGATATTTGAATTGAGATTTAATGTTAAAGTGTGAATTTGATGAATTAGAGTGTGGAGAGTGAGTTAATTGAGAATTTCAAAGCAATTGGTTAATAAAAGGAGTCACTTTGTTGCAGAAAAGAAGCTACGCAGAGAATGCATTTTGAGGATTTTTGATGGAACAATCACTTTTATTGATAAAAGTGATCACGCAGAGACAGATGAAAAAATAAGTTCTCTGGAACGTTTTCTTTTTCTAACAAAAGTAGCCGCACAGGTAAGTATACCCTGGACCTCTGTGCGTTATTACTTTTATTAACAAAAGTTGCAACGTAGCTGCGCGTTTTCACTTTGCCTAGCAATAGTGACAACGCGCTCCTTACTCTGAAAAAACACACTCTTTGGAACATTCACTCTTATGGATAATAGTAATGATGCTAGGATTTTTAAAATATAAAGGTCACTTTTATTCTCAAAAGTAGTCACGTGCTTAGGCGTGCCTATAAATACTGCTAAGGGTGAATACGCACATACACTTTTAAATCAAAAATCCCTTCCCTCTCTGCGAGCTCTCTAACCATCAATCTCTACATTGCGCCTCAGAAGATTCTTCTTCCCTGTTCCATATTTGAACATCATTTCTGCATCTCTAACCAAGGTACATTTCCTTTATTTTTGAAATATGTGATTGGAATTTTTTATGTGTTTAAATATTTTGGGAAGCTGTTGAAAAAGGATAACTAGGAATGTTCGAGGCATTTAAATCAATTTGGGAAATAAAAAAATACTGAGATTAGGTTTTGCTGTAATTTGGATTTTCTGAGAAGATTCACTTCTGCATTGCATCTTTCACATTAACAAAAGTCTGCAGAAAATTACCTTGACCTAAACAGATTCAAATTGAGTTTTGATTGAGAGATATTGAATTTGAAGTCTGAAATTATCTACTGAGCTGTGTTCTGCATGTAGTGTTTTGGAAAATGTTGAGATGAGTGTTGGGAAACTATTCTGATATTATTTGCTTCAAGAATAGAATGGACAATACTCTGAATTGGTCTTTCTCTATCAACTATGACATTTCTATTGGATAATTGACATTGCATTGCACGCTATATGTATCACATTCTGCAGCATTTTAGTTGACTTAAATTGAAGTGTGTGAATTGGTTGATGGGAAATCTCTGAATATAACTATTTAAAATCCCCTGCTGTGATGGAATCACTTCTACATTAGTCTGAAAATTACAATAAGTGAGTTGCAGCAATATTTTTGAAAATTGGTTGAAACCTGAACATATTGCATATTGCTCTACGCTACCCTAATTCTTTGTGATAATGAACGCACATTGAACTTCCAAATTAGGAGTATCAAAATTTCTCTGAAATTGATTGATTAATGTTGTGCATCTATACTGTTGCATCTATATAATACATGTTTTGATAGCAGACTTGAATTCACATTCTGAGACTATTTGGTTCAAAATAGAATGGATAATACTCTAAATAGGTGTTCTCTGTCATGTATGCTAATTTGATGGGATAGTTGAAATCACATTGCATCATATGAACCAAATCTCTGCAGAAGTCTGAATTGATGGCAACAGAATTTTCTGAAACTATGGGATAGGAAATTAGAAAGCATGACTTTGGTGAAATTGAGTTAGACATTAAACTGGGATTAACTGAAGTGCATACTTGATTGAAAAATGAATAAAAACCTATAAACTTTTGCTGACAGTACAAAATTGTTTTGAAAATTGGTCAAGAGTTGTAAGAATCTGTCTACATTAATCTGATATTTTCTAAGAATGTGCACTCTGAACACCTACAGCAGGATTTTATTTGCTTTCCCTATGAATGCTTTGTGCAGCTGGGTGTGGGTAGTTGAATGAGCATAGTGTTAAACAATGATTGTCTGTAAACTATTTGCTAGAATTTTCTGCAAGCATAGAAATATCATATGTGTTAAAATTTTAGATTTTCTTTTGCAGAAATTGAAAAATGGTCAGAACTTCATTCAATACACCAGTGGGCCCTCCTAAGAAGAAGCAAGCTGCATCTTCTACCACTCCTAAGAAGAAGCAAGCTGCATCTTCCACAACTCCTAGAAGAAGATCTAGCAGAAATCATCAAGCTGTAGCATCAAAGAGGGCCAGAACTGATGGTGTCTCAAGTTCTTCACCTATTCAAATCTTTGACCCACCTCAACCAAGATCACCTGAACCTTCACCTTCTCCACCACCTCAGACAAGATCCCCTGCACCTTCACCTTCACCATCACCTCCACCAAGAACAACTGCACCCTCAGGATCTTCACCACCTGCCACACATGATCCCAGATTCAGAAGTTTGGCTCATGAAAACTTTTTCAGAGCCAACATTCTAAGAAGAAATATTATTCCCGACAGAGCATTCCAAATAGCTGGGAATAATTATCCAGAATTCAAAGAGGAAATCCAAAGAAGAGGCTGGGAATTCTTTTGTGCAATAGCTGGCCTGGGTTGGAGGGAAATAACTTAGGAATTTTACGCCAATGCCATGAAGTTTAAGGGAAACCGAATCCCTAAATTCAGCTCCATGGTCAAAGGCATGAGGATTGACTTCTCACCAGCAAACATCAACAGGGTACTGAAAATTAATTCTGCATAACATGCTGCACAACTGGACTTCAAATCATTTAAGGAAAGTCCAGATATTGATTTTGTGCAGATTCTGAAAAGGATTGGTAAACCAGGCACCACATGGGAGCTGAACCAATCTAAGAAGCCAAAGCACATCATCACCAAGAATCTTCTGCCCTTTTCCAAAGTGTGAAGCATGTTCATCTTGAACTCCTTCATGCTTGTTAAACATAGCTCCACACTGGCTGTCAAGAGGGCTGCTTTGCTGTTTGCCATAGTCTCCGACATCTACATAGATGTGGGAGAAGTCATAAGTGACTGCATTTTGGGAATCCTGAAGACAAAAAGGGATTCATTGGCCTTTCCTTCAGTAATCACATTACTTTGTGAAGACGTAGGAGTAGAATTTGGAGATTACCAAGAAAAGATCAGAGCTGCACCATCCATTTCTGTAGCTCTGATAAAAGATATTTATGCTACTGTCTCCTGCACTTCTGCAACTCCAATTCCTTCACAATACAAGAAAGAGAAGCCTATGATGATGAAGGACACTCTGAAGCAACTAGCTGAAGGGCAGAATCAATTGGCTGAAAGGTAGAATGAGCTGCACAATAGCCTAAAAGCTGGAGTTATGTTAATGGAATGTATCATGCTAAATATTGGTAAAAAATTGGGAATGACCAAAGATGAAATGTATCATACTCCAGATTTGGCAGAGAATGCTCAGTGCCTTCGTTCTTTTGTGTTCAAGAATATGCCAATATACAGAACCCACTTTCCTCAGCCAACATTTGAAGAGGTAGTGGAAGAAGAAGAAGAAGAAGAAGAAGGTTCTGAAGAAGAAAGCTCAGAGGAGGAAGATGCAGCAGAAGACTAGTTTAGGAATTTATTTTCTGTTATTAGGAGTTTTGTAAATTTCAGTAGTTTCAAACTTTTTGGGTTGTAATCACAATTTGGTACAATTTGGTTTAATTTTCACATACTTGTTCTGCATTTATATTAGCTTTCTAACTAATTGCCTTTCTCTTACTGACCATTGATGGAATTCTGGTGTTTTGTGCAGAGAATGTTACACACACAACACTCACACACATTGGATGATGACACCTGCACAAGCTGCCATGAAAGGGGGGTTATTCCTTACCTCTTAATTCATGTGTTAGCTACACAATACACTAGACAATTCCTGATAATAATATAGATTATGAGCTATTTTCTGCGAATTAAATGCAAGAGGATTGAAATTTTATGAATTCTGTTAAATTTTTTTTAGTTGTTTTTCCCATTCTCAAAATGAGATCACACTTGTATTTTAAAAAATGAGACAGTTGCCACTAGGTGCATCTATTTCTGAAAAGTGCATTGTGTTTTCATTAATCCACATGATCACTTATAAATGCCTAGTGAGATTTGAGCTGCCTATTTCTTTTTCTTGTGTGATTAATCATAATTGGCTGCATTCTCTAGAACTTGCCTTTGTTCTTAATTGAATATGCATGTTTACAGTTTCACACACATGATGGAGGCCATGTTTGATATACTTAGTTAGCCTAAATGCCTCCCCTTATGCTTATATGCCCTAGTTTACCCCTTTAAGCTTAATATTCCTTTTTCTTGAATTAACTTCATTACAAGCCCCGCTGAAAAACTAATTTTACCATTCAATTAATCAGAAGCATAGTGAGTTTAATAAAAAATGAGCTTTAAAACTAAGTTTGGGGTAGCATTCATTTTGTGTTACTTGAGGACAAGCAAATTTATAAGTTTGGGGGTAGGGGAATAGCAGGCTATCTAAAGTCAAAAAATAAAAATAGCAGGCTATCTAATACAGTGCTGCAGAAAAATAAAGAAATTATGCAGCAAAATTGGCTGCAGAAAATTCTGAAAAGTGAAAAATATGAGTTTAAGAGAAAAAGAATTATAGCAAAATGCTATAGAAAAAGAAAATTTGAACTCATGAAAGCAAGGAAAGAAAAATCAACATGAAAATTCTGCTGCACAAAAACAAATTATTTGCTGCGATATTGAGGAAGTTAAGGAGAAATGAGGCAAAACCAGATTAGTTTTTAAGTCATTCACTCAAAATGCCTCTGATTTTTTTGAAATTGCATTTGCTTCCTATTTTGTTCAGTATCTACCCTAACCTAAGCCCTGTTATAACCTGCAAAAAACTCTCTAGATGTGTGATTAACTATACTAAATAGAGGAGATGGAGAAATTGGGCAAACATATGGTAGAGTGTAGTTGAATTGACGATTCAGAGAGAAAACAACAACTAAACACTGTTGAGTGATGAGAAAAACACTGTCTAGTGAGAAGTGATCATACTTTTTAATGTTTCTCACATGAACTTGGCTGATATATATGAACTTAGATAACAATTCTTGCTTAAAATTTGATGAATGCATTGTGATTGCAACGATGAGTAATTGGATGAACATTTTAATTGAAAAATTATGCAGAAAACACAGAATTGTAAATTGCAAATCTTAGAAAAACAGTTTGTGAGATGATTCTTGAAGAATGGAGGAATTACCCTTGGTTTAGTTTGATTTGCTTGAGGACAAGCAAAAATTCAAGTTTGGGGTAGTGATGAATCCATATTTTTGCTGATATTCTAACATAATTCTAACACATTTGATAAGAAAAATATATGAAGAAAGAAGAAAAACTTAGAAAAAGAGAAATAATTGAAGTTTTGTTTAAATTTGTAGCTATCCTAGCAATTGTGAAAATTTTGCTTAGGAATTAAGTTTTTAATCTTGTTTTTGAAAGAATAATTTGAGCAAAGATCATGAAAATGGAGGCTTGATGACAAGGAAGAAGAAAGAAGCAAGTCTGGACTCCAAAAAACACAAGAACAAGAAAGTGCAGACTGGGTGTGATAACTATTGTCAGTGAAAGTGATCACTCCAGAGCTCAAAGAAGAAGTGAAGCTTGGACGTTACCACTTTTATCAATAAAAGTGAGCGTTCCAGAGAGGCAAAATATCAGGAAAGCTCTGCATAACCACTATTATCATCGAAAGTAAACCTTCCAGAGAGCCTTCAACTTGGCAAGTTGCGCGTAATCATTTTTTCTCATAACCACTATTATCACGCACAACCACTTGAGCTCTGCGTTGTCACTTTTATCAGTAAGAGTGATAGTTTCAGAGAGCGGTCAATATCAAGAAAGTTGCGCGTGGCCACTTTCTCTCATAAAAGTGTTAACGCGCAACAATAAACCTTCTGCGTAGCTACTATTTTTCATAAAAGTGATGACGCGCAAATCTGGAAAATTTTATAAATACCAGAAACGTTCCAGAATTGGGGGATTTTGTTCATTTTCAGTTTGTTAGTTAGATTCTCGTAAGAGGAAGTGAGAGAGAGGAGTGGGGATTCGAATCTTGGAGCTTCACGAAGAGGCATTGGAGTGGAGCAGCTTCCATGGCGATTCTGAGTTTCTTCTTCTCTTCTTCTCTTTCTTTTTCTTTCTCTGTTGTCATGGCTGTGTAATTTCTTCATAGTTAGGGATTGTAGATCTGAAATGATCATGTTGAATTGATTTGGATATAGATTTCAAGCTTTGGAATAGATTGAGTGATTGATTCTGCACTTTATGTAGTAATTGAATGGAAATTTGGTTAACTAATTTCAGAGGAACTCTTGTCAATGGAAATTGAATTTGTTCTTCAGAACTGAACCAATCACCGAGATTATAGTTTTCTTAGGGATAAGAGGCTTTGATCTTGCAATCTTCTGGTTTCTTACACTTAAAGCAATATTGAATTGAATCATATCTAAGGAATTAGAATGGTTTAATTGAATGTTAGGTTCACTGAGTTAAGGAATTAACCTCTGAACAATATAACGTGAAACTAATTGTCATTCTTTCCAATTGCTTGCTAATTCAAAACTTTATTGATTAAACATTGGAGTTTTAGTGAAGCAATTCCTTAGCTATGGTCTCTCCCTCTGTTATCACATAATTTTTTGTTCATTGTTTTGTTTCTGCAAGTTTCTTTTACTCCTAATTGTTCTGGTTTGCTGTTATTACATGTTACTACTCTCCTTCCAATTTCGAAAAGCTCAAATGACTATAATTCTATGAAGTGGTACTTGAAATTTAAATTCCCTATGGAGACGATATTTGGATCTTAATTTTACTTATTACTTGCTGCAATCCTAGTGCACTTGCTAATGTTAGATTGCCAACAACAAATCCCATTCAAAGTTTCAATGCAAATGAAATCTATATTTGGAATATTGATGGACTTTCTGAATATAATATCATTTCTAAACTCCAACACATGTCTGTTGTTGCTATGGGTTACTTCACCAATAATAATTATGATGAAGAATCCTAGACATGAAGGTTTGTGGGATTATTGTCTTACTTAAACTGATAGAGAACATATCCTCTCTGCTGTAAAAATTGATGACAAAGGCAAAACCATTATCAACAATAATGAGCAACTTCCTGATGCAGTATATACCTTATTATACTGTATTGCCCATAATTTCCTTGGAGATCCTTCTTTATGAAAAGAAAGATCTGGTGAGTTATTATCCAATCTCAAGTGCGGAAACTTAGTGATTATAAAATTTATAAATATACCTTCATGTCTAGGATTTACACTAGAGAAGATTGTAATCAACTCTTTTGGAAAAAAAAATTCCTTGATGGTTTACCCAAATCCTTTGGAGATCTTATTAGGAGTAAGCTCCGAAATCATTCTGTCAATAGTGAAATCCCCTATGATAGTTTTAGTTATGGTCAGCTTAATGCCATTATAGTAAAAAATGCTTTGAAAGTTTGTCAAGAAGACAAAATACATAAGCAACTTGCCAAAGAGAGAGCTTTGAACAAGAAAGATTTAGGTTTTTTTGTGAACAATTTAGTCTTCCTCCTTGCTCTATCAAGAAGGAAAAACAGAATCATAAGAAAGAAACAGTTGAGACCCACAAAAAACCTTACAAAAGGAAATACAATAGAAAACCTCCTAGGAGGCATGGGGAAGATGTTATCCCCAACAATATCCCTAGGAAACCCAGAACAGGAGTAACATGTTACAACTGTGAAAAACTTGGCCATATCGGTAAATATTGTAGGCTCAAGAAAATGATTAGCAATCTAAATCTTGATCCTTCAATTGAAGATCAGATTAATAATCTTCTTATTGAATCTTCTGATGAGGATAAATAATATGCCTAGAAAGGCAATAGCCCCTTCTAGGGGAGGTACTACTCGTAGAGGAAGAGTCATACTTGCTCTGACTCTCAACAAAAAATCAAAGTTTGTCTCTACAGATTCTAGTTCAAATTCTTCGGGTCATCAACTCCAGCTATGTCATCTACCTAGAATGCTATCCAGATTGTAGAGTCATCTACTCAACAATTTGTGATTCCTAAAGAATATATATACACGAGGAGTTAAAAAATTACATTAGTGGAAGTTATACTTATAATAATTTTGATCAATTTAACAGTTTAATTTATTTATATGTTACTTAAATTATTTGTGTTAAATTTTGTTAAAATTAAATATGTATAATATTATCATCAAATGATTTTTTATTTCATAAATTTTAAAAGTATATATTAAACTAATTTTGATATTTACAAATAATATATCAAATAATTTTAAATAAATCTTAAATTTTGTATATATAATTTATATATTGAAACTTTTAATTTAATGGTTGATTTTAGAATTAAATTATCTAACAAAAAATTGTTAAAAAATAATATAAAAGTGAGTAAAATTTACACCGATATAATTTTATTCTTCCCTTAAATATAGTATTTTTACAAAGCAAGACTTAACCTAAACGGTAATTGTAAAGTGTTATACAAAACTGTAATGATAAATTACTAATGAAATTTACTTCTTTTACATTAGTAGCTTTTCTCTCTTTTTTATGCTAAATTGAAAATAATTTTTATCTTTTTCATTTTATCATATTAAAAAGTTATCATAAAATAATTTTTAAAATCTTATTACTTAAAAACAATGAACCTTATTAAGAAAAAAATTAAAATTAATTTCTTATGAAGTATATTTAATTATACAAAATATTCAATAACTTCAGACAATTAAGTCATTTAACACTTTTTCTAAAGATATTTTTACTTCATAGATAATCTCAAAATGTAACTTTTAGATTTTTTATTTGAGATGATTTACATATTTCTTAGTTTTTTTTATTCTTCTTTAAAAAAAAGTTACTTTTACTTATAAATCGTGCACTATAAGTTTGTTAAATTCTTTTATTATTAATATTTTTACAATAATCTACTAACGTATTTCTACTTTTAATTATTAAAATTTATTATATTTATATTTAGATTTGTACTGGATACGGATATCATATAGTACTCTTGCAAGATAGCTTTTTAACCATTAGATTGATTTTTGAAGTGGTCTACCGTTAATTGACCAGTCCTTCACAATAACTTTTCTATCTTTTGCATATTTTGTTACTAGTTTATTCCCATTACCGTTGCCATTTTTCTAGCTACTTTTTGCTATACTTTCACTCGAATAACATCTTTTCTACTATTTTATTTAAATTCTTTCCTATATTATTTTATTATTTTTAATGATGACTTAAGTATATTTTTATTCTTATATTTTAATAATTTTTTTAGTCCTTTCAAATATTTTTTTTTCTTAATTTTCATAAATTTTTATTTTTAATCTTTAATTCTGTTTTGATTCACTTAAATCTTGTCAAGTGTCAACTTTTTATTAAAAAACATTAGTTAAAAAAACTAAACACAATAGTTTATAAAAAAAAGGATAAAAGCAAAAAAAAAACGTCTAAAAAGACTAAAATAAAACTTTTATTACAATGTGAGGATTAAACATTAAAAATACATTTAAGTTTTAATCATTTATAAAATAATCTGAAGCATTGATACACAAATGTATTTAGTATGCATCAAACTTTAGTTGACTCTAATTACAATGGAATCCTTATTAGGAAACATTACCAAATACACAGAATTGTTCAAGTAAATGAGAAGTAGGGGTTAGGAGGCTTCCTTGCCAAAGTAGCTTGCTCAAAGTCATAAGCAATCTCAATTAGTTTAGGCTCCGTTCCCTTTAACCCCCCAAAAAGGATTCCGAATGGCATTCCATTTCTATCATACCCACCTGGGACTGTGATTGCAGGATAGCCTCCAATTGCTAGAACCGTTGAAGCGTTGACACCTAAAGTCACTAGCGCATCCAATTCATTCTCCTTCATTAACTTCTCAAACCCTTTCTGTGATAATTGCTCCATCAACTTTATTGCCTCAATTTCACCCTTTCCAATGCCGTTGGTCATTTCTGATGCAAGAAGTAAATCCTGACCGTACTCATTTGTTCTTTCCTACAAAAATAGGTGAAAAAAATCATTGTTGCAATATCAAACTATACCATAATATTTTCTTCTAATAACCAAATGCTTTGCAAATGATACTGGCAAGCAAGTAAATACCAAACGAAATTTGGTTGAAATTCAAAAACTGTGAACATAATTTTCTATTAAAAATAACCTTAATCAAGTAAATAAGTCATGGTCAAGATTTATATTTAATAAACAAATCAAGCATGGCCTAACCTGTCTTGTCCCTAATTAAGCGGTTATTTCACTTTCAAGTTAAAAATAAATTCTCTAATTTATAATATTAAGTTGGGGGTGAATTTGAAGCAATATGAGTTTAAAAAGTGGGGTGAGGAGATATTCTATCAAATAAGTAATGGCATTTTCACTGTCCATCTAAAAATGATAGTATAATATACTTACCAAATAAGGATTTTTTATGTTGAATTCGATAATCTCAGCTAATGACCTCACAGGAGAGTGAATCAGCTCCTGCAAATATTTGTTTATGGACAACTTGAACTCTGCCAGTACAGCTGTAGTTTCACCACTTTGAAAAGGGTCGAGAATGGTGCTTAAATTTTCTATTTCCAAATTATCTACCACTGTTGCGCCTCTTTGCCTTGAATTGAAAACAAAAAATCAACATATTCTCAATGTTATAATATATGAAATTTGAAAGGTTCAATAATATGTGCCAATAAACCTTAGTAAAGACAAAAGAGTTCATGATATTTTAAAGCAAACAATGAGCATGCATCAACATTAATGTGAATTTTATTTTTACCTTAACACATTTAGATGATGCTCAAAGATGGAAATCACATTGGATCCCTTACAAGGATCAAAAAATGGATTCCTCACAACGCCTAACTTCTTTCCTTTGAGCCCTTCTTTGTTGAGGAATTGCTTATAACCACCTGAAGGTATAAACTTAGCTGCTGACTTTGTTGCCTCATAATCTCTTGGGTCAAACCCAACAATTGCATCAAGCACATGAACTGCATCTGAAACTGTCCTACATATTGGCCTGTGCAAAAGTATATATCAAGATTTACCATTCAAGTTGAACATATATATATATATATAACTGATTCAAGAACACTAATTGGTATTGCATGTTGTCAAAACGAAACAATTTTTTACCCGATTGAATCTTGACGAGGTGAAATTTGTATGACACCGGCCCTACTAGTGAGTCCAACGGTGGGTTTGAGCCCCACTACCGAATTGTGATCAGCTGGACAGATAATGGAGCCATCGGTTTCAGTCCCCAAAGAAACTGCAACCATGTTTGTTGCTACAGAAATTGCAGATCCAAAACTAGACCCACATGGACTTCCCAGCTCCACGTAAGGATTCTACTTGTAAAATAGATAAATTAATTAACTAATTATACACTATTTAAATGAAATAATCTATCATTAGTGTATGCCTAATTCTAAGTTAGCACGTCACAGTTATGTTGGAAACTCTTCTACCCCTTCTATACTATACGTGAATCATGGCATCTACAGGCGTAATCGCTTATCTTGATCAAATTTTCTAATTGAGCAGAAAATCGCCTTTAATAGTTGATCAAATTGCTATCCTCTGTTAACGCACGTGAACAACAAATTATTTAAATCAATTACACGAAAGAGAACAGTAACTGTTTTACATTCTGCTTTGCACAATTTCCGCATTTCTACTTTATATATATCTAAAACAGAACTGTAATATGTCACAGAAGGTTTTAGTATGAAATTGATATGATTCAGCATGGATTGATATTACTGGTTAAACAACAATTCAAAAAATATAAAAATATTTGACAGAAATCAACCACAACAACTATTTGTAACAAAAGTAGAAGAGGAGAAGTGATTAAGTGAATAACGATGGTGAGTTACTAACCTTGGCAAGTCCACCTCTAGCGCACCAACCCAGAGGCATGGTGGTGGAGCGAGTTCCGTACCACTCGGAGAGAGTAGCTTTGCCCAGAATGATGGCACCGGCGTCTCTAAGCCTGGCCACCACGTGCGCATCACGTGCAACCTTTGCCCCCAACAGGGCATACGATCCAGCTGTGGTGTTAAGCTTGTCCTTGGTATTGATGCTGTCCTTGAGTAGCACAGGAATCCCATGTAGCAATGGACGCTCCTGATCTTCTTCCCTTTCCCGATCAGCCTGCTCTGCTTGATCTCGCACGTCCGGATTGACTTCCAACACTGCGCGAAGTATGGGATTGAAGGCCTCGATCCTGTGCAAGTAATAGTCAACGAGTTGACTGGACGTGAGCTCCTTCCGTTTGAAGGCCTCATGGATGTCCTCTATGCTCGCTTCATTGATCCTCAGCTCACAACACTCGTTGAGAGAAACCAAACCACTCGAAAGCACTGCAAATGAAATCAGAGCAACACAAAACTTCACTCTTCCCATTTTTCTTATCAGTGAACAAATAAAAAGGCAACGCTCGGCTTCAGTTTGACTTTTATTCACATCCAATCATCCATGGTCGTGAGAATCTAGGAAAAATATTTTAGATATTTTTATTTTTACTTACATACCAAAAATAATGTCGAAATCTGTTATCCAAGTGAATAATAATTTTGATGATGTATATTCAATCATACATACTTAACAAACAATGCGTGGCGTCTCGGGACAGAGTGTGTAAAGAGAGGCTTTACATTCACTGACTTGACTTCGGTTAAAAAAATACATTATTTTCAATTAATTATATAAAATAATTTTAGTTTTAAAAAATATCTCATTATTAAAAGAAAATAATTTCTATTTTATTATTTTTATTTTTTATCATTTGAAAGAAGATTTATTTATAAAACAATTGTTTTTATTCTTCAAAATAAAGGAACACAAATCTTAAAAGGAAAACTTTTATTACTTATTTTTAAATTAAAGAAAAGATTATTTACAAGAAATAACTATTTATTTTTTAGTTTTTAGAATAAAAATGAAATTAAAAACTCATTTTGATGTTTGTTTAACTTCAAATTACATGAAAAACTATTTATGTATGAAAACTTATATACCTCATAAATTTGAGAGTACATCATATATACTTTCTTTCAAGTAAGGGTTGTAATTTTTTTAATATCATAAAACTAAAAAATTATTTATATTTTTTTCAAACAAACTACGAGTATTATAAAAATTATCTAAAACAATTCTTTTTGCATATAGTTATGCTTCAAACAAGAAGTGAACTACGAATAAGAATAATGTAAAGATGTGTATAAACGATATAACTAATGGAAATTAAAGGCTATAAAAAAAGAGGTCTGAAAGCATAGAAAAGACTTTAAAGATCAAATAACAAAGACAACAAGAAAGAAGATAAAAGAAAATTTAAATAAAATTGTTGTTGTTCCATTTGAAAAAGTAAATATAATTTAAAGTTAGAAAACTCAAGATGTCAATTGAATTTCAATAGAATTTAATGGAGTCTTAAGTGTAATTGACCATATTGATATGTTGTGTTTTTTCTAATTTCAAATTAGATCTATTTTGTCAAATAGCATAATAACAATTTTATTTTATCTTCTTTACTTTTTTCTTATTATTGATTCTTGAAATTCTTTCAATATCTTCAAACTTTTTTGTTAGTGGCGTTCTTTGATTCTCATCTACCTAAACATTGATACAATTAAAAGAGTAAAATAGATTGAAAAAGGGTGCGTCATACTCTTGGTTGCTGTGCAAACTCACTGGTTGTCTCCTCTCTTTTCTTCTTGGGAAGTTTATCGTTTTCTAGTTTTGCTACTTTTACGTTCTTTGAGAAAACGTAGAAACGTGTAGAGAGGAAATTTTGATCCCCTGTTCTAATTATAAGAACCGGTGATTATTCTCATTAAGTATAGCTAACCTATCTCAATTTTTATCTTACTGTATTAACGGCACATCCATACCAGAAAATATATCCGATTTGCAATATCTACTTTTTATTTATTTATATATTCCATATATCTTTTCCAGAGATTTTTGTCTTGCCAATTTTTATTTAAGACTTTTTTTATTTTTTTTATATCAAACGTGGATGGAACTAATTTTGTCTTCTAAATCTCAACCTTTTTAATAACTTCTTAATCAGTTAGGATATATTTGAAAAGAGATTTTGGAGGAGAAGAGAAGAAAATAATTATAAATTAAAAAATTATATATTATGTATAATAAAAAGTATATTAATTTTATATTAATATATTAATTTATACTTTTAATTTAAAAAATATGAATTTTTAAATATATTTATTTAAAATATAAAATTTTCCTCCTTTTTCTTCTCTAAAATCACTTTTTCCAAACAACCCTTAACAGTGATTTGTATTATGACAATTCTATCTGTTCATCAAATCTTTCCTTTAAAGCAAATACAACCGATCTATTCATTATCTTTGTTTTAATTTTTAAATTTTTATTATTTAATTTAAAAATTTAGATAAAATTAAGTATTCACATTTTTATTCTTTTTAATGGAAGCATGTGTGACAGTTAGCATGGACTATGTGATGACTTAAGTGATGTTATTTGTCCAATTATTCTAACATTAACAAGTGATGTTATTTGTCCAATTATTCTAACATTAACAGAGATCTGAATACAGTCCAATTAATATGTGAACTGGACGTCCAGTTTTATTTTCTTATAAATGAAAATGGACTCGCTTAAGTGAAAATGTAGAAGATGATGAAATTTTTCTTATACAAAATTAACTTAAGCGAATTTTTTTGACTTAAACAAATTTTGCATATTTGTTTAGACGAATTATGTTGGCTCAAACAAATTTTAAGTCTTTTGTTTCAATATTTTCTTCTACTTCTCCTCGTGCTTAATACTTTCTTCTCAACCTCCATATTCAACTTTCTTTAACCTCCATATTCAACCTTCTTTATTTTCTCAATATCCAACTCCTTTGTTCATCTCCCAACTCCCTCTTCCGTCCACTCCTTGTCCAACTCATCTCTTCTTCTTCTCACTTTTACCCCAACTCATACCTATATCTCCCTCTTTACTTTATACCCAACTCTCGACCATTCTCTCCCTCCACCACTACCCTTATACCACAGCTTTCCTTATCTCCATCTATCATCAATTCTTTCTTCCTTACACACTTAACTTTCATATACGTAAATGCACAAAATTTGCTGAAGTAAACATAATTCACTTAAGCAAATATACAAAAATCGCTTAAGGTGATTTTATATAAAATAATTTTTGTCATTTTGTGAGTCTTCACTTGAATGAGTCCATTTTTGCTTAAAAAAAATGAAACTGTTCGTCTAGTTTCATTAATTGGACTGGATCCAGATCCATATTAACAGAGAAAAAAATAAAATCTATTAGTGGCTTTTATGGCAGGATTAGAATCTTTGGACCATAGTTATAGATCCTGTGTGTAATAACTTTTTTAAAATAAATTATCGATATTGAGAAAGCATCCCTTGAAGCACTTTATTTTATTTGTATATAAAAATCGAGGTGGAGTCCTTGAGAGAAAAATATTGATACAGTTGTCCATGATACTTTGCAATGAAAATGAAAAGTTAAGGTAAATCTAATGATTTAAGGTGACCATTATAGATTGAAGATTAAAATGATTTAGGATGTAAAATTGTATAGAAATAATTAAGCATGTCAGGCTTGATGATTCATGTGTGTAAAGTCTTAGAATATACCATAATTTGAAATATTAATTTTATAATTTAAAATATGAATTATAATATTTTTTTATTTATTAAAAAATAAAGTTAGTTGTGTACATGTTATTAGATCATTAGAGTATTTTATTGTATTAATGAAATATAGTCATTTTTTTTATAGTTTCTTAATAAAAGTTTATTTTTGTCATTGACCTTTGAAATTTTTGAACTTTAATATTTTTTTCTTCTACTAAATAGTTTTCAAATAGTTATTTCTTTCATTGTTCTGTTTTCTTTTTTATTTTATCATAAATCTTTTACTCACTCACTCTTCACTTTGTCTCAAATGGTGAAACTGAAATTCAATTTCACTCTTTTCAAACTTGCTTTCTTCTTTATATTTCTTTAAATTCTTTGTGTTAATGAAGCTTCCAAAACCTTTATCCTCAGCATTGATTCTCCATCTAAGGCTTCCTTTTATTTGTATTACCTTTCTATTATGTTATGGTATTTGTTTTTTTTTTTTTTTTTTGTTTGGTTTGTTATGCTATTATATAAATAGTTTTTCTATTGTAAAATTGAGCGTATTAGACTTTTATAATTTAGTATTAATGAGAATTTCTTTTAAGGTTTTTTTCTCATAATATGGTATTAGGAGATTAAGCATTTTTTAGTCATCTTCTTATTTTTCCTTGTTCTTGATGGCTACTTTCCATACATATTACTGACCAAATCCCGCAAACCCATAGGTTTTGCATTCCAATGAAAACCCAACATTGGTTCTTGTTTCACCGCTCTTTGATAGCAAAAATTATCATGCTTGGTCACTGGAAATGCAAGTAACTCTTCAATCCAATAACAAAATTAAGTTCATAAATGACAGCATTTTTCAATCGCTATAAACTAATCTTGTTTCTTCAAAATGGGAGCGTTGAAATACTATTGGTCCTTTTTTGGATCCACTGCTCTATCTTAGAATCCATTTTTCAATCTGTTCTTTGGACAAGTCTTGCATTATGATGTTTGGACTAATTTATAGGATCGATTCTCGCACAGTGACATCTTCAAAATCGCATATTTACAAGAAGATATATACCATTTTCAGTGTGGTAAGTCCTTTGTTAGTGAATATTACACGCATCTCAAAGGTATTTGGGATGAATTAGAAAATTTTAAAACATTCCTTTTCCCAATGTTCAATTCCATGTTCCTTTGGTGTTGTTATCAAGATCAAGATTTATCATGATCAAGTATATGTGATAAGGTTCTTAAAGGGATTCAACAAGCAATATACTCATATCTGTTCTTAGATCATTCTCTTAGATCCATTACCTTTAGTTACTAAAGCCTTTTTCTCTTGTCATCCAACAAGAATGACAACTACAAGTTGTCATGCTTTTATCTCCAATTTTTTTATTCACAGGCTTTAAATGTTACAACTAATAAACAAGGCAATTTCAACATTTCATAGAATTCAAAGTGGAGTTCCTTTGATCGAGGAAAAGGTAGAAATCAAGGAGGAAAAGGATAGGGAACCAACAATCGCCTGTGCACTCATTATGACAAGAATAATCACATCATTGAAACATGTTTCTTTAAACATGGTTTCCTACCCAGGCATAAGAATAACAAAGACAAGACTGCGAATCTTCTATCCTCCACTTCAACAATTGCCATGGAAGATTCTTCACTTCAAATTACTAACAAAGATAATGACAGCTCTTTCACACCAGCGAAGTATAAAGAGTTATTGGCTCTTTTACAATAGTTCCATAGCAAAAT